CAGAAGGATCCTGGTGGTAGATGTTTGTAGGGAAAGGGGACATTGTAGCTGATGGAGAAAAAAAGTTATTAATGCCTTCTTTGTCCATATCTTCTCAATATCTTTCTTGTATTGTCAACCAGAGCTAGACAAAGTATTCCAGGTAAGGTCTGACCAAAGCAGAATAGGGACCTATAACTTCCCTCGACCTCAACACTCTACTCCTATTGATGCTATCTAGACTTGCATTAGCTTTTTATGCTGCCACATCACACTGCTTACTCAAGCTCAACTTGTGGTCTACTAAGAATCCTAGATCCATTTCACATAGTTTTTTTTTCAAGCCATGTGTCACCCTATTCTATACCAGTGCATTTCGTTTTCTTCTGCCTTACATTAAAGGTAAAGGTAAAGATTTCCCCTTGACATTAAGTCTAGTTGTGTCCGACTCTGGGTGGTGGTGCTCATCTCCATTTCTAAGCCAAAGAGCCGGCGTTGTCTGTAGTTGCCTCCCAGGTCATGTGGCCTGCATGACTGCATGAGTGCCATTACCTTCCTGCCAGAGCAGTACCTATTGATCTACTCACATGTGCATGATTTCGAACTACTAGGTTGGCTGGAACTGGGGCTAACAGCAGGAGCTCAACTGCTCCCTGGAATCAAACCACCAACCTTTTGGTAAGCAAGTTCAGCAGCTCAGCAGTTTAACCCATTGTGCCGCCAGGGGCTTTACATTACTCCCTGCTAAAACACCCAACTAGGAGAGACTGCAGTGAGTTTCTTTTCTCTGAGCCTATTGTGAAGGACAAGATCCTACTTCTTCCTCCCTTTTTCCTTCTGTAGAGTTGCGTGCAACTGTTTTTACACTTAGAAATCATTTTCCAGCAATTGAAGTAAGCTCAAGATAATGGAAGAAAGTGGAAGGGGGGAAAAGTAGGCTGATAAGAGGATTAATCAGTGCCTCAGTCAAATCAGGACAGTTGCATGATATGATATAATCTTTTTATTATATATTTTTAAGTTGCTGCCCCTCAGCCTTTCCAAAGTTAAGCAATGAAGTGAATAAAATCCATGTGCAGCACAAAACAATCGGCCTTGTGAGGAAAGGTTTAGCAAACAGATGTGAAACATTAGTGCCGTCAGCCAGTGCCAGCAACTGAGCGGATGGCAAGCGCACCAGGTCCTTGGGGGGTACAAATGCGCTCTATGCAGTGTGAAAACACGGCTGTTCCATGGCAACCATTGGGTATACAGGATGGGGGAGGAACGGGGCCTGGGACCAGATGTGGGAAAGCTGGCCATCCAGGAACCAGCTGGGGGAAGGTGGTAGTGCTGGTGTGTGTGAAAGAGAGAGAGAGAGAGAGAGAATATCCCAGTTCCTTCTCTGAAAGATTCACTTCAGCATCATTCCCAGCAGAAAATATACACACAAAGAGAGACAGTATTTACATGGGCTGCCTCCTCACAAGCCTGTGTGAATTGAGGAGCAAAATATGGACTCAGGAAGATAGTTAGGGGTTGAGTGAGACAAGGGAATGATCGATACAGAAACAGATAGATGAAATCTCAATTTGTTCCCTGGGGGAAAATCACTATGTGGAAAATAGAGACACAGTATTTACATGGGGCTTTCCTCAACCTAAAGAAACTCAGGAGTGAAACAGGGGCCAAAGAAGTTAGGTGTATGTTGTAGTGAGACAGTGTGTGCGTGTGTGTGAAAGAAAGAGACACAAAGAGAGTAGCTCTGTTGTGTTGTTGAAGGCTTTCATGGCCAGAATTACTGGGTTGCTGTGAGTTTTCTGGGATGTATGGCCATATTCCAGAAGCATTCTCTCCTGACCTTTTGCCTGTATCTATGGCAGTCATCCTCAGAGGTTGAAGGGTCTGTTGGAAACTAGGACAAGTGAGGTTTATATATTTGTGGAATGTCCAGGGTGAGAGAAAGAACTCTCGCCTTTTTGAGGCAGATGTGAACGTTGCAATTGGCCACCTTGATTAGCATTGAATGGCCTTGCAGCTTCAAAGCGTGGCTGCTTCCTGCCTGGGTGAATCCTTTGTTGGGAGGTGTTAGCTAGCCCTGATTGTTACTTGTCTGGAATTCCGCTGTTTTTTGAATGTTGCTCTTTATTTACTGTCCTAATTTTAGAATGTTTGATACTGGTAGTCAGATTTTGTTCATTTTCATAGTTTCCTCCTTTCTGTTGAAATTGTCCACATGCTTGTGGATTTCAGTGGCATCTCTGTGTAGTCAGATATGCTGGTTGTTAGAGTGTCCAGCATTTCTGTGTTCTCAAATATTATGCTGTGTCCAGGTTGGTTCATCAAGTGCTCTGCTATGGCTGACTTCTCTGGTTGGATGTTCGAATCCAGGAAGAGCGGCCAATTCTCTCACATCAGAAGTGACTTGCAGTTTTTCAAGTCGCTCCTGATACGGAAAAAAGAAAACCCAGGGCCCTTCTAGACAGCCCCTATACCCCAGGATGTCATCCCAGGTTTTTCTGGTTATCCCAGATTATCTGGTAGTGTGGACTCATATCATCCAGTTTAAAGCAGAAAACCTGGGATCAGATCTTGGGATATAGGGCTTGTCTTGAAGAGCCCTCAGTGGAAAACACACAGAGACAGTATTTCTGTGGGGCTCCTTTTCTCAACCCCATCTTCTGCCAAGGGGAGAGGGCACCAAGGGGAAAGGGCCAAAATAGGATCCAGAGAAGATAATTGTGGGTTGAAGAGAGACATTTGTGGGATGCAAGTGAGGGAGGTTGAGAGAGGAGAAATATATCTGTTCTTTCTCTGAAAAACTCTGGGCCCTTCCACACAGCCCCATATCCCAGAATACCAAGGCAGAAAATCCCACATTATTTGAGTGTGGATTCAGATAACCCAGTTCAAAGTAGATCATGTGGGATTTTCTGCCTTGATATTCTGGGAGTGTAGAAGGGCCCTGGGTTATCTGAGGCACCTTCCACATAGCTGAATAAAATCCCACATTTTCTGCTTTGCACTGGGATAGATGACAGTGTGGACTCAAGATAGCCCAGTTCAAAGCAGATATTGTGGGATATTCTAGGTTAATCTTCTGGGATATAGGGCTGTATAGACGGGCCTGAGTCCACACTCAGCTACCGTGGGATTTTCTGCCTTGATATTCTGGGATATGGGGCTGTGTGGAAGGGCCCTCGCTCTGTGGGAGTATTTAGTATGAGGGGCTGCTTCAGGAGCAAAGCTGGGAGCAGGGAGCAGAGCTGTGTTTGGAAGTGAGGCATGTTTTGGGGGTGGTGGGTAGCGTGTTCCTCAGCCTGGCCCCCTCTTTTTGAAGGAACAATGTGGAAGAGCAATGCAGAAGTGTGTGGCGTGCCCTCAGCCGGGCCTTTGGGCTCCCTCTTCCTGGCGAGGAAGGAAGGAAGGAAGCCTTTCCAAGCGCCCGCCCGCCTCCTCCTCCTCCTCCTCCTCCCCGCAGGTTGTGTAACTTTGAGCCGGCACCTCGCGCTGCTGCCTGTCTTTCTTCTCTCCCAGGGACCCGGCCACATGGAGAGGACCAAAAGCGAGAGCAGGCGCTTCCTCCACGAGCCTCCTGCCCCTTTCCTCAGGGAGAGGAGGCTTCTGGCGACCCCCATGCATTGCGTAGGGCTTCCTTAGGCAAGGCCAGCTCCTTCCTCAGTCTGAAGCACAGCCTGCAGCACCTGGGACTGGTTGGCGGCCTGCCAGCCCAGTCCGAGCCGGGCCTGAGCCTCCTGAGCTCCTGTAACCACAACAAACTCACCTGGTGCCTTGGGAACCTGCTGGGGGTGGATCCAAGGCGCGCGCGCGCATACATGTGTGTCTGTGTCTGTGTGAGATGGATATATATTGTGAATATGTATATATATTCCTGCTAGGGATGGATCCAAAGCCTCTATCTTAGGTAGGCGTCTGTTTCCAACAGACCTCACAACCTCTGAGGATGCCTGCCATATATGCAGGCGAAACGTCAGGAGAGAATGCTTCTAGAACATGTCCAATACAGCCCAGAAAACTCACAACAACCCAGTGATTCTGGCCATGAAAGCCTTCCACAACACAACAGAGCTACTCTCTCTGCGTCTCTTTCTTTCACACATACGTACAGACACACCCTATGTCTTACTACAATAAGCACCCATCTTCTTAGGCTCCTGTTTCACTCCTGAGTTTCTTTCGGCTGAGGGAAAACTCACAACAAACCCGTGATTCCGGCCGTGAAAGCCTTCGACAATACAGAGATAGAGCCCTTGGATCCGTCCCCAGCAGGAATATACATACACATATAGGTAAAAGTTTCCCCCTGACATTAAGTCTAGCAAGGCCCGACTCTGGGGGTCGGTGCTCATCTCCATTTCTAAGCCGTAGAGCCGGCGTTGTCCGCAGACGCCTACAAAGTCATGTGGCCAGCATGACTGCATGGAGGACAATTACCTTCCTGCAGAAGCGGCACCTATTGATCTACTCACATTTGCATGTTTTCGAACTGCTAGGTTGGCAAAAGCTGGGGCTAATAGCAGGAGCTCACTTTGCTCCCCGGATTCGAACCGCCAATCTTTTGGTCAGCAGCTCATTGGTTTAACCTTGGGGCTCCAAATATACATACACACACATCTTCACACAAAGTAGCATTCGAATAGGCGCATGTGTTTATGTTGTGTGTGTGTGTTTGTGTATAAAGACGCCTTGGATCGATCCTCAGTAGAGATGGATCCAAGGCGTCTAGATGATAGGAAGGTAGGTTGATAGACAGATGCCTTGGCTCCATTCCCAGCAGGAATATATATCCATAGATATGAACCTCTGGGGGTTCATCACACTGGAGGATGATTCCACTTTAAATCCGGTTTCTGCCTCCTCCAGAATTCTGGGGTTTGTAGTTTAGGAACGAGCTTTTAATAACCTGCCTAAACTACAAACCCCAGAATTCTGGAGGAGGCAGAAACCGGATTTGAAGTGGATTGATTGTCTAGTGTGATCTGGTGTGCCTCATCCCTGCCTCCCCCGCTCCGAAGTAGTACCTGGATCTCGTGGATGCGCCCAAAGCCATCCTTCCAGAAGAACTCGACCAGGTTGGAGAGGGTCCTGGGCCCGGGCATGTCCTCCAGGCTCCTCACTCCGGGCCCGGGGCGCTGCTCCTGGAGCCCAGCCGGCTCTCCTTGGCCCTCCTCGGCGGCCACCCGCTCCTCTTCCTCCTCCTCCTCCTCGTCGTCGTCTTTGTCCTCCTCGGCGGTGGCTCTGGTGGCCTCCTTGGGGGGGCCCTCGGAAAGTTTGGGGCACTGCCGGAGCCGGCGGAGGAAGAGGAGTCCCGGGCGGAGGCGGCTCCGGGGAAGAGGCTCCAGCAGCACCTGCCCGGCGGCGGCGGCGGCCAGCCTGAGCGCTTTGCCCAGGAGGGACATGGCCGGAGAGGGGACCCGCACCACCACCACTGGCTCCGCTGGAGAGAGAGCTCAGGCTCCCATGCGGACGGAGCTTGGCCCTCCCCGGCTTGCCAGGCCCCGCGGCGCGCCCCCGGGCTCTCCTTCCTGCCCGAGCATCAGTTTACACAGGCCATGCTTTGAAAGGCTCCCTCCCCCGAGGCTGCCGAAAGGCGGGCTGGCCCCAGAGGAGCCTTCCAGCGCAGGGTTTGGTTTCATTCACACGTCAGATCTTCCCACCGGCCCCTTTCTGGTGCCTGCCTGCCGGCGCTTGGGAACGGGCCGCCTTTTGGGCCCCCGCTGGGGATCTTTCCGCACCATCTGGGCCACCCGGCGGGGGGGGGGAGGGGGGCTGCCCTTTCTCTTCTTCGGGGACCCTTCCCGGCCAAACTCTGCAAGGAGGAGGATTGCACACAGAAAGCCCCCCATAATAGTTGTGGAACTTGTCTCCTGTTCTGGATTTGGGGGTATTTGCACACCTTGGAGCTGGGACCTAAATCAATCCCATGTTTAGACCAGATCTCACCTCCAAGGTAGCTCATGATGTCTATTCAAATCTGTACACAATTTCTCTTAACATGTGTGTATAAGGCAGGTAGAGGAAGGAGATAGCCCCCCACAATAGTGTGGAACCTGGGTTGTTGTAGGCTTTTTCAGGCTATATGGCCATGTTCTAGAGGCATTCTCTCCTGACATTTCGCTTACATCTATAGCAAGCATCCTCAGAGGTAGGGAAGTCTGTTGGAACTAGGAAAATTGGGTTTCTATATCTGTGGAATGACCAGGGTGGGACAAAGGACTCTTGTCTGCTGGAGCTAGGTGTGAATGTTCCAACTGACCACCTTGATTAGCATTTGATGGCCTGGCAGTGCCTGGGGCAATTTTTTGTTGAGAGGTGATTAGCTGTCCCTGATTGTTTCCTCTCTGTTGTTTTGCTGTTGTAATTTTAGAGTTGTTTAGTACTTGTAGCCAGATTTTGTTCATTTTATTTATTATTTATTTATTTCTCGCACTTCTACCCCGCCCTTCTCAACCCTCGAGGGGGCACTCAGGGTGGCTTACAAAAGGCACAGTTCGATGCCGGCACAACAACAAGATAAAAATAAGACATATATAAACAGTAATTAAAACAATTAAAACAATCCATTATATTTTCATGGTCTCTTCCTTTCTGTTGAAATTGTCCACATGCTTATGGTTTTCAGTGGCTTCTCTGTGTAGTCTGAGACAGCCTTGAACTGAGACAGCCTTGGTCGCCTTGGTAGATGATCTGCGCAGGGAACTAGACAGGGGGAGTGTGTCCCTGTTGGTTCTGCTGGACCTCTCAGCGGCCTTCGATACCGTCGATCACGGTATCCTTCTGGGCCGCCTCATGGATATGGGGCTCGGAGGCACTGCTTGCGGTGGCTCCGATCCTTCCTTGAGGGACGGACCCAGAAGGTGTTACTGGGTGACACCTGTTCGGCCCCACAACCGTTGTTGTGTGGAGTCCCACAGGGTTCAATCTTGTCCCCGATGTTATTTAACATCTACATGAAGCCGTTGGGAGAGATCATTCGGAGTTTCGGACTAAGATGCTATCTCTATGCAGATGACGTCCAAATCTGTCACTCCTTTTCACCTGTCACTAAGGAGGCTGTCCAGACCTTGAACCGGTGTTTAGCTGCTGTGTCGGACTGGATGAGAGCTAACAAATTGAAATTGAATCCAGACAAGACAGAGGTCCTACTGGTCAGTCGGAAGGCCGAACAGGGTATAGGGTTACAGCCTGTGTTAGACGGGGTTACACTCCCCCTGAAGACGCAGGTTCGCAGCTTGGGAGTAATCCTGGACTCATCGCTGAGCCTGGATCCTCAGGTTTCAGCGGTGGCCGGGAGAGCTTTCGCACAATTAAAACTTGTGCGCCAGCTGCGCCCGTACCTTGGGAAGTCGGATCTGGCCACGGTGGTCCACGCTCTTGTCACATCCCGGCTGGATTACTGCAACGCACTCTACGTGGGGTTGCCTTTAAAGACTGCTCGGAAACTCCAACTAGTTCAGCGAGAAGCAGCCAGATTGCTCACCGGAGCGGCGTACAGGGAGCACACCACCCCCCTGTTGCGTCAGCTCCACTGGCTGCCGATCCAAGTCCGAGCACAATTTAAAGTGCTGGTTTTGACCTATAAAACCCTATACGGTTCCGGCCCAGTGTACTTGTCCGAACGGATCTCCCTCTACATCCCACCTCGAAGTTTAAGATCTTCTGGGGAGGCCCTGCTCTCGACCCCGCCAGTGTCACAAGTGAGGCTGGCGGGGACGAGGAGCAGGGCCTTCTCAGTGGCGGCCCCCTGCCTGTGGAACGCACTCCCCGGGGAGATTAGATCGGCGACTTCCCTCCTAGCATTTAGGAAAAAACTAAAGACCTGGATGTGGGACCAAGCTTTTGGTCACTGATAATTAAATCAAGGACCGGCGACAGACAAGGACAGACGGAATAGAACGGATGTATGGACTCTGATATATGGACTCTGACATGAGATTGTTTTTAGGATTATGTTTTTATTATGTATTGTTGTTTAACTTAACTGCTGAATTTTATATTTTTTGGATTACTTGTTGTGTGATTGGGCATCTAATTGTGCCCTTTATGTAAGCCGCCCTGAGTCCCCCTAGGGGTGAGAAGGGCGGGGTATAAGTGAATGAAATAAATAAATAAATAAATAGTCTGACATGGTGGTTGTTAGAGTGGTCCAGCATTTCTGTGTTCTCAAATAATATGCTGTGTCCAGGCTGGTTCATCAGGTGCTCTGCTATGGCTGGCTGCTTCTCTGGTTGAAGTAGTCTGCAGTGCCTTTCATGTTCCTTGATTCGTGTTTGGGCAACGCTGCTGCGTTTGGTGGTCCCTATGTAGACTTGTCCACAGCTGCATGGTATACGGTAGACTCCTGCAGAGGTGAGAGGATCCCTCTTGTCCTTTGCTGAACGTAGCATTTGTTGGATTTTCTTGGTGGGTCTGTAGATAGTTTGTATGTTGTGTTTCCTCATCAGCTTCCCTATGCGGTCAGTGGTTCCCTTGATGTATGGCAAGAACACTTTTCCTCTGGGTGGATCTTCATCTTGACTCTTGTGGCTTGTTCTTGGTCTTGCAGCTCTTCTGATGTCTGAGGTGGAGTATCCATTGGCCTGGAGAGCCCAGTTGAGGTGGTTCAGTTCATCTTGGAGGAGGTGGGGTTCACAGATCCTTTTTCACAGTCTGCCAAGGTTTTAATGGTGCTTCTTTTTTGACCTGGGTGATGGTTGGAGTTTTTATGTAGACATCTATCTGTGTGTGTGGGTTTTCTGTAAATGGTGTGACCCAATTGTTGATCTGATTTGCAGATGACTGGGACATCTAGAAAAGGCAGACTTCCTTCATTTTCTTTTTCCATGGTGAATTGGATGTTTGGGTGGATGCTTTTAAGATGATCCAGGAACCTGTTTAGTTCTTCTTCTCCATGGCTCCATATGGTGAAAGTGTCATCCACATATCTGAACCATATAGTAGGCTTTTCTTTAATTTTATCCCCCTTTTCTCCCACGGGTCAGATTCAAAACAGCAAACGGATTGTTAAAATAATAGAAATTACATAATACAAGAACACATCACACCCCCAACCCAACCAAGTAAACAATAAAAAACACATTACATAAACATATTACATAAACCTTGTAAAATAAGCGTAATAAGTAACAACATTTATAATTAATAATTAAAACTCTCATGGCTTCATGTCACTGAGGTTGTCCTTAGAACATTATGCTAAAAAAATCTCAAAATCCGAGTCTTGGGCTGTGTGATCTTACCAGACCAAGATAGTCTTCAGTGATCAGACTTGGCAATAATCACTGGCTGCCTAGTCATAGCTTATTATGGGTTGCCAGAGAAGACCTGCTTCCATAAAAAGGTTTCAACCTGGAAGTGAAAAGCCAGTAATGAGGCGGCCAAATGCACCTCTTTGGGGAGGGAGTTCCAGAGCTGTGGGGTCACCACCGAGAAGACCCTCCCTCTCATTCCCATGGACTTGTGGGAATGGGACTGAGAGAAGGGTCTCTCCTGATGATCTCAGGGCTTATGTGGGCTCATATAGGAGAAGATGCGGTCCCTCAAGTAGGCTGGGCCCAAATACTTCAATAAGGCCTGGGTTAAGGCATCAGACTTAAGAAACCACCCTTTCTGGGATCGTTTACCCTCAACACCCTTTCAAAGAAGCCGAGTTAAGGCACTCTTTTTAAACAATCATTTCAGTGAGAGCCACACCACCTGCAGGAGCATTAGACATTCTTCAAAAAAGATATAAATTACCTCCTCATTTTATGACGGCTTTAGAAATGGCAAGATACTTCTACCCCACATTTGAAGCCTGTGTCATGTGAAGGGCACCATCAGTGACAGTTTCTTAAGTGTGTAGAAAGTAAAAGCTTATTTATTGCTATTTGAGTCAAAAGGTAAGGCAACCAATGCAGAGCTGTGAGTGGCACTGAGAATTAAGATCACCAGCAGACTGGAGCATGATCTCTCAGAAGCCTGCATGCAACAGAAACACGGAGGCCCAGCTTAAAAGACACGTCATGGCTTTATTCAGTTCTGATTGGCTCAACAGGCAGGTCTCACAGGGAAACCCAGTGTGAGTCTCTCCGTGCTCCACATGTCGTCCAATAAAACCAAAAGTAGCCGTGGTCGGCAGCCATGTTGTCGATTGCAGTATTAAAAATGGTGGCGACTCCTGTGCCGTTATGGTTGCCTGAAAGAATCAAATCAGCCAGATCCCATTTTGAAAAACGGATTTGTGCACAGCCCTACAAAGCAGTGGAACTCTCTGACTTGGAGTGTAGTGAAGGCTCTTTTTTGATGGCTTTCAAACAGAGGCTGGATGGCCATCTATTGGGGGTACTTTGCGCTTTTCCTGTATGGTGGGGTTTGGATAGGATGGCCCATGTGATCTCTTCCAACCCTATTATTCTATGATTCTATGATTCCATTTGCATACGCATAATGAGTTATCTTGGAAATGGGACCTAAGAATAAATGTAAAAATATCTTTCATATATACCTTATACACATAAAGGTAATGTTACCCAGGCTTGGAGATATTTGTATATACATCATGAGATATCTTTGAGATGGGACCAAAATCTGAACAGAAAGTTTATTTATGTTTCATATACGAGGGTTGGAACTTTAATATTGGCAACTATTTATTTACATATAATACAAAAGTTATACATGCCACCAAGTTTTACAGTC